ATTTTCTATGAAAAAATGATTGTGTATTAAATATAATGTCACCTATCTGGTTTATAAATTGATAATATTGTTGATTATGATTATTAATTTCACATTATTGTTTAAGACTTTTTTACCACTTTTATTTATTATAGTAAAAATGTCAAATAACATGCATAGTTACCAGCAAATTATAATATACTGAATTTTTTATCGTCCTTGAAATAAACTATTTGCATTTTTACTTCAAGTTAATTGTATATTTTTCGTCATGACTTTTATCTGGTTGCAAAGATATCAAGGATAAAATAAAATAAACAGGCATAATTTTTTAAAAGCTATTCCCATAAATTATTTACATTTTATAAACGAAGAAATATATCTGTAGCACATAAATTATTCATACTCGACTGTACTCGAATATAAATACTGGACTGTATTTCATTAATTTTACTTGATTCAAATAGATTTATTATAAATACAATAGTGTTCCAAATAATGTAAATACTAGTTATTGCTTACTTTATAGTTGCATTTTTAAAAATTCTTTACTTAAATAATTAGATGTAGCATTGGTTGATAGTACTTTTGTATTTATAAATTAAAGAAATATAATCTAAAAATTTAATGAATATAATATTAAACAAATATATATATATTATTTTATTTATTATATATATTCAACAATGTAATTATCAATTTAATAAATAGTTAAACTTTACTGTATATTTGAAACATTCAAACGTTTAATGTAAAATTAAGAAAATATTAATATATACTTAATAGTATAAAGAATAATATTAATATACTTAATATTTAAATATTTAATAATCATTTTAAAATCATAATATATAAAAGATTATCTAAGTAATTTTAAATTAAGAATATATGAGTAAACTTTAAACAAATATAATACGATATTAGATAAATCTTTTCATCTATCAAATATCAAATACGTGTTGTTCTCAATTTTCATAATACATTATAAAAATTCCAATTGTTATTATGTATTCACAAGAGTTTTAATTAAATTAATGCATAATAAAATGTTTTAAAATTGATAATGAGTACATAACCTGTACTGTAAAAATTTATACAAAATATATTGCCTTACATTAAAAAATTTAATAAAAAGAGCTCACTTTATATTGAAAATTTGTTTAAATATCGGTAATAAATAGATTAATATTTTATTCATCAATGATATATGTGTATAGAAGTATAAGTTATTAACAATTAGTCGTCTGTTAACAAATCAAGCTACAATACCAGAGGGAAAAAGAAAAAGAGGATGCTTATATTTACTCATATATTATAGGATATCGAATGTTAATTTGTTATGTTCATTAATCATTGATTGACTTCCGAAACTGTGCCTCGAAACGACGAGGTATTGGAAAATCAATCATTCTATACACATGTATGAATACGTACATAGAGGTAATTATAAGCAGAATTGCTGCTTTTGGTATAAAAATAGTATGAAAATGAAAGAGAAATAAGACAATTAGAAAGATAGAGGAGAGATGCAAGCCTATTAATCAGAAATGTAATAGTCCCGATGATCTGTATAAACTCTTAAGTTTATACTTATAATTCACAACATTATCCTTGTTTAATCATGTATATCCCAAATTGGTAGTTATAATTTATATTAAATCAACAGTAATTAATTCGTTTAAAATATCTAAGATTCTTCATTAAAAATTAATACAATATTTGTTATTTTAATATTGATTTCGAATATTATAAAGGCTTTTACAGATAATCGAAAATATAAACACATTGTGTAGAAATCCAAGCAAATTAACAGGTAAATTAAAAGACAGATAAACATAGGACAAAAAACAGGATATTAAAAAAAATACATAAGGAATGTCTATAAACATTATCATTGGTAAGTAAATCGTGGATAATTCGATGATATTATTTTTGAGCTTATAATATTGTAAACACTTAAATGAGCGATTGAAATATAAGATGTAGTATGTTGTATTGGTTTTTATTCGTAACAAAAATATTTTGTTGTATTTTGTTCGTTTTGTTAATGTGTGCAAACATTTGCAACTTTCTACTTCTTTATCTTTTTTTTTAATAATAGCTATTCATAAAGAATCAAGGTATATATATTTTCATTTCAAGAGAAACTAGAAAAACGATATAAAATACTGATACATGTCAGTACTCGATATGTAAGCAACTGTACTTATGCAAAATTCGAATTAATATACATAATTATTGCAGTATATTTGTGTATATTCAAATTATTATTGAATCGCTTTAAATAATTGTTGACTGGCATAACTACTTTTTCGTTGCCATAAAATATAATTAAGAATTAATCGAATGGAAAATAGTATTGAAAAATCGATTAGCATGATTAGAAATATAAGACGAGAATTGTTTATGTATTTTTTCATCACCATCTAGTTTACAAATAAAATAAACATGTATTAAGATACTCGATATAAAAACGCTATGTACAATGTAACTAAAGATTAAAATAATTTGAATTTTTATTTTTATTTTTTTTTAATTTTAATATTTATTTGTTTTTATTTATTTATTTAATTAATTTATTTATTTAATTTTTATTTTCTTATACAATACACATCATCATGTTTTTAAATATTAATATATATGTTTAAATATATTAATCATATTCTTAGTTGTAGTAAAAATTTATTATTACAGAGATTGCCTTCTTATTAGAATATACTATAAATATAACAGATTATATTATAAAATTATTAAAAAGAATTAAATACTGCACGCTTTACTTATTAAAACATTTCAATAAACAACAAATACCGTTAATTTAAAAATTGATTAGATCATTAATTTCATAAAAAATACATAAAAAATAATTATATTATTTTAATCTTTAGTTACATATGTACATAGCGATTTTATATCGAGTTAATTCTATTTAACATTATTTTTAATGAACGTGAGGAATAAAAAATCTTTTAATAAAGTTTTCAAAGATCATGAATATCAAATAAAGTTTATTTCTAGTCTATTCATTTACATTATATAACTAATTAATTATTAAAACATCAATACATACAATTTCTTATATTTAAATAATTATTATACTGTTCAGTTTCATGTGCATATATCTCCTTAATTTATTTGAAAGAATTGTTTTAATTTAATTATTATAATAATATTCTTATAAAACATGTATATTTAGATAATAAAAATAAATTACTCAGATAATAATTGGTTTTATTTAAGATCCAAATATATAACACAAATTTTATCATTAATACATATAACGGTCTTGGTGAATTTCAGTAAAAATATAATACCAATAATATTATGATTAAATATATGTCATAAATTTGAATACTAAAAAATATAAGTCCAATAAAATTACGATTAGATATCTCATATAAATATGAAATATATTTATTATAATTTTTATAATATATTAATATTAATCGTCAAATTTTTATATCTAAAAATAAATTTTATTTTATATTTTGTTATATCTTCCAGTACGTATTATTGATTGTATATGACTAGATGTATGTAATAAGTGATTAATTTTTTTATACAAAACCAAGTAACTTTACCATTTAATATAAAAAAAATAAAAACAAAAAAAAATGTGTTCTTAATAGTACTTAAAAAATTTAGTATTACTATTACGTTATGTAATACATTATGTAAATTTGGTAGTATATATTACATTAGATGTAAAAGAAATTTAACAAAACTGTAATGAATATTTTTAAATTTCAATGTATATATATATATATATATATATATAAGAAAATATTTCTTATATAAGAAGAATTCAATAAATAGTGGAACAAATATTATCAAGAAAGTATTAATTATCGAAGAAAATATAATCGAATACCGAATTGTACATTTTCCATCTAAAGAATCGGATTCCATTAAGCAAAATGGTAATACAACAATCGATCAACGTTAAAAACACGACAACGAAACAAGGACAACTTAGCGTCCAGTGGGTTCAATCATGATCCTGTATGTCTGTCTGTCACTATAATAATCGATGGATGTTTTCTACCCAAATATTGCGCACGCGTAAATGCGTATGCGCGCATATGTGGGACGTTAGATGTAGGCGTGTTGGTGTTCGAGAATACGGAGATGGCAGTGGTCTATGCATCGGCACGCGCGACCTTGACAATCGATAATGCAACCCCGACAATGCCCAAGCTTCGTTCAATGGACCCGACCTTGAAACGTTTCTTTTCTCTTTCTCTCTCTCTCTTCTCTCTCTCTCTCTCTTTTCTCTCTCTCTTTCTCTCTCTCTCTCTCTCTCTCTCTCTCTCTCTCTCTCTTCTTAATGCTACATCTTTCATCTCGCTGAGCTGAAGTCTGAAAATCTCAGTAATGCAAGTCTTTCTTTTTTATTCATTACCAGTATCCTTCCTCTTCCACATTATTTTCCTCTATTTTCATTAGCAAATTAGACCATTTATCTCTCTTTATTGAATTTGTACATGTGAAAAATCATTGAGTCTTCATCCACCATTTCCGTACCCTCTTTAATTAATTTTCGTTCTATACACATAACAAGACCTCGTATTCTTGTATCCGTGCATTTTCCTATAAAATTAAATGCTAAGGGCAGTTTCTCTTGGCCGATCACTTTCTGAAATACTTGTGAACACACTACAATTGTTTTTGTTCAATTTTTCATTTACATTCGTATTATTTTTTCGTCTTTTGTATTTATTTTTGTTTCTTTTTTTTGTTTTTTGTTTTTTTTTTTGTAGAAAGACAAGAAAACATGGACGATCGGCTAAGAGAAGCTGCGCAAGGTACTCACGGAAATTGAGCAATCGAATCAATTTATTTCAACATAATTTGAGTTAATTCATTTTTCATTCCTCATCACTCATTTCAGCGAAATAGAAGAAAGTTAATTTCCGTGAATAACCTCTTAAAAATATAGGCTACGTTACGCTACTTGAATACTATAAGAATATAAATAAAATATTTTCATAGCAAGAGTATATGAAAGTGGATTGGCTTACCTCCTCGCATAGTGCCAGCATACGCCTCGTACTTTCCAAAGACTATAACATAGTAATTTTTTTTATTTTATTATTTCAGTAGCATACATATTATCGCTATATACAATAATTAGTAATATCTTAAGAAGAGCTTACCTCATCAGTCGTTTGCCCAGCCTTGTATTGAAGCTCCTGTAGCTCAGTGCGGGGTGGTCCGGGCTCAGCCGCCCCGGCAGCTGACGTCGGTGCGGGCATCCTCGGTTTATTTCAGTATTTATTTGCTGGCGACTGATTCACTGTTTGCAGTTTCTACTAGTATCCGGCTAGTCACTCTAACCTCTCACCCAATATTCTTGACTCCTAAAAATTACCGGTCAATCTATTAGTACGTTCTACTCATTAATCGAACTCTTAATTACATGTCCTTGTATTTTTCCTACTCCGAGGATAGAAAAATACTCTGAGTTTTCCAGTCGTGCAAATTTCAGGGATTAAAAACATAATTGATTCGATGCTTCTTACTTTCTTTATTATTTTTGAGATCTTATGTTTCAGTAACTTATTGTAATAATGTCATGGAATATAAGATCCTCGTCATTGAACTGGTCAATATTCATTTCTGATGATTTATTTTCTTTTTCTTTTATCTTTAAATTTATAATTCAGTTGGATGAAAAGTACACACGTAATTGCATTAGCAAAATAACAAATAAAACACATAATAAGTGATTTCAGATTTATTTTATTGATGTAAAGTTGTTTATTAATAATGAAGACAATGAAATTTACACTCCTTAAGCTTAGCTTGAACTAATCGATACTAAATATAAATCATTTGGATAAATGTATATTCCTTTACTTCGATAAGTATTTTTTTTAAAACATTTTAATAGATGATACAATCATTCAGTTAAAAATATTTGCTCAAACGGGTTCAAATTTTTTGTTAAACTTTAAATATATTTTAATTGAGAAGTATGTTAAGATGTATTTTTAATATTTTGTCGTTATGCTGATGAATAATACGTAAAATTAAATTAAAAAACATAAATTTTATACAAATATGTAAAGACACGTTCAAAATACATGGAATAAAAATGTATAGCATCTACATGTACACTAATAATTGAAAATTATATGATATTTATTTTTGTTTATAAATCATCACTTATGATTAATTTTAAATAATTCATCATAAATAATGAATATAAAATAAGTATTAATGACTAACCAAATTAATTTCACTTCTAAATAATCATTTATTTGATGTAAATAATAATTTTTTTCTAATTTAGTTCTAATCTAAAAGAGTCAGTCTTTGTTTTTTCATCTTCTATAATGTACTTATTATTATTATTATTATTATTATTATCATATTTACATCTCATTCTACTTTAAGTTAAAACACTACTGCCATAATTAAATTTATATATTAATTTTTATCAATAACAATTTACTATTAAGCTAATATTAAAATACTTCAAATACAGGATGTCAATTATTGTGTTATATATTTTAATAATACTTTTTGCCATATTTTTATATATTGAATATTTATAATTAACAATTAAATAATGAAATTGTAAAGCTTTGAAGTTGCAGTGATACTATTCATGTGAGAAAAATACTATTTATTGTTAATGTTAATTTAAATATTACATATATTTACCTGTAATTTGATTAAAATAAATACAAACTGGTAAATCAATAAATGCATTGTCACTAGTTAAAATAATTTTTCTACTTAACTTCATTAGAATTCTTATTGGTAAATTTTTTATACTTATTGAAGATTCTTATGAGATATATGAATATTAATTTTGTTTTAAACTGTTATTAAAATGTATTATATACAAATCAAACATAAAAACTTGTTAAAGTGAAAATACTGAATTTGTTTAACTTTGTGTAACATGTTGGCATAAAAAATTAAAAATCTAACAAGTAATAATAGATAAAAAGGGCCACGCAGGACACACCAATCATTTGCGAACAGTACGAATTAAAATATTGCGATAAAACCTTTAACATAACGTTAATATCTAATTTCAGAAATCTATAATTTTTTTAAGTAAAATTTAATTTTATTTATAAATAAGTAGAGGCTAAAGCCGACATATTAATTTAATTAGTCGTAATTGTGTTTTTAAATCATGATAAAATGTGCAACAAGATTTCATTAAAAATATGTAAAATAAGCGTAATTGATGTTTGTCTTATTCTATGTTAGGGATATTTTAGATTTGGTCCCTTAGAATCACGATCAAAAAATATTGTTTGAATAAAATATAAGATAATAAAAGCTACGTTATAAATAAACTGATGTGCTTTTACTTTGGAAATAGAAACGAGCATGTAAAACGTTCTGTGAAGCATTAAAGGGTCGTCAAGACGTAACAAGCGGACTTTAGTAGCCTTATATGCGGTGCTTGCGTTTGTATATATAGGCAAAATCAATATCGTGCCGCTCAGGCCGTTTGCGCAGATGCACTTCGTCCACGTGCTATTACGCTCGCACTGACGAGGTGCGAAGCAATAGTCGTCGACGCGGAGTGGGCGGGCGCCAAGGAAAGAGGTCCTAGGTCGCGCTTGATTTACGAGAGTCCGCCGAGGTCAGATTACGTACTCCGAGTCAATCGACGCAAGCAAGCCTCTCACAATCCCACTCTCATATACATACTTGCATACATGTGCACATACGTATGCACTCACTAACTCTCTCTCTCTCTCTCTCTCTCTCTCTCTCTCTTTCTCTCACTAGACAAAATTTGTTTCTCTTTTTTCTTTCCAAATTTAACTTCGACTGCTAGTGACGAGACTACTTGTCAAGAAAAACTGGATAGATTTTTATACCAGAGCCTTAACGAAAATGTCCCTCACACTGGCCGATTTTTATTTCTTAAATTTATTAGCCGATTTAACTCATTGGTTTCATAGGAAAACTTTTATCACAAATACTCGACACAAGAATTATGTACGATTACAAGTTCTCTCTCTCTCTCTCTATCTCAATAATTATTTGTTATTAACAGTATTATCAAATAATTAAAATATATGATCACTAATTTGATTATACAGAAAAATCAAAGCAGCTTTCAACTGAGGATTTTATTTGACGTCAGAGATTTTTTTTCAAATATAAGTACCGAAACTACAACTTCATATACGCAATGTAACAATTGTAAAACCATCAGTAGATGCACATAAACACGGCACTCAAGGATGAAATTCTCGAGACTCCGTAACTTACCGGTGGGAGGAGTTATGAGACAGGTAGGGACTTCGGGGACTGGAGAAGAGAGTGCTCTTGCGACGGATCAAAGATTGCGACTGAACGCGCGTCAGAGGAATTTCTCGGAACCACCAAAAAACGACGATGGATACATAGGATTGGAGGAGGGTAGAAAAGGTGGTGGAAGGGTCTAGGGAGGAGAAAACGCGCGGCTGGACTTGCTTACGATCGCCACCAAACCTTTCAACTGTAGAAGAATGTCTGTGCAAGGATATAGTCCAACTGCGAAGACAATTGTCAATTAATGCGTTCGCAGATAGAATGCGCTAGTCCTTCGCTTTATTTACTCACAAAAATATTACAAGGTCCAAAAGTAGTACGAATTAACGTTTAGTTGCGTGCTAGATCGTCGATGTTTCAGGCAAGCACATGCGCAACAGTATTCTATAAAATTAGTATATAATACTAGCCTTTCTGATGATCATCAACATTATTTTTATCATATATTGCTTATTTATTTCACATAATTCTACAAACTAAGAGCAACTGTTTTTTTTTTAAATAATTTTTTTTTTTAGTGACGGTGATTTAGCATACATATACTTTCATAAAGTAATTTATAAATTAATTAATAAAATAAGTGTTAGGCATAAATATGTTATTATATTCACAAGTTATCAAAAATTAAATAATCGATAGAAAAAACTCACCCACATTATTATTAATTTGATATAATATATGCAAATATATAACATTGACTATCAAATTTGTATAAAAAATTTATATTGATTGATCAAAAAGTACAATTTATTGCAATTAATAAAAATCGACTAGAAATTAAAAAATATGTTTATAATTATACCTTTCACTTTGTTTATCTGTATTTTAAATGACCGATTTAGAATAGGGAAATGAACTTTACTCAAATTTAAGAATCGTATCTAAAAAAGAATTTTATACATATAAATCTGCCATAACCAAATTTATATTATATATAAATTTATAATTTATATTATAGATTATATTTATAATTATAATTATAATTATAAATAAATATTTAAATTCTTAAATACAGCTTATAATAAAAATATATACTTTACAATAAGTAAAATGTTTTACTAATACAAATACGTTAAAATTAATGCTATTAAAAATATAATATACACAACAGATATTAATTTATTGTAATAAACTTACTATAAAAACAAATATCCTATTTAATAAATGTTATATTAAATGACAAATTTTTATCAAATAAAACTTTTAAATTATAATTATCTATATTAAAAGTGTTTCTATTTTTATGTATCGATTGAAATGTTTATATTGAAAAAGAATTTAAAAATAATAATGCTATTAATAATAAAATAGAAAATTTTACATTTAAAAAGCATTGAATCTTATTTGAATGATTACAGTAAACAAAAAGCAACTATTGCTTAGCTTCTTAGTAAATTAGCCCTTTATTATCATTCACCCTAAAGTAGTTACACATTAATCATACAATGATCTATCTTTTGACATGTATGAATTTAGAATTTTAGCCCTGTTTACTAATTTGATTCATTGCAAAATTTATTTTATAAAAGTTTGATTTGTCGTATTTAAAAAATACGAATGCTAAGTATGAAGATATTTTTAATTTTTAAACCTTGCACCTTAAATGATAATATTTATTTTATTTTCAATTGCACAACTTTTTTTAGATGTCTTATTACAATGCTTTTAAAAAGACAACAATAATAGTCTAGAATTCCAAAAATAAACATAAATTTAAACATATATTATAGAAAAATAAATTAATTTTAAATTTACAAATTAGTATTTATTATATATATATATATATATATGTGTGTGTGTGCGTGCGTGCGTGTGTGTGTGTCGGGTAAAAAAGATTTGTGATTATTAGCAATGAAGTATTTTATTTAATCGTTAACTTATAATGAAAAATTTTTTTAAATATTGTGTTTTAAATAAATGATGTCTTCGGATAACAATATTTTTTACTAAAATGAAATCAAAATAGTTATGTCATAAACATATTAAGCTAAACAAATTTCTATACTTCTGTCAATAATATATTTGTTAATGTAAATATATTAATAAAATTTAAATTTTAAGTATATCAATTAATAGATGTTATATGTTTTGATCTAATAAAGTATATCTGCATCATTCGATAAATGGGGCATAGATAGTATCCATAATTGATATTGTATTATATTGTATTGATCTTGGACATCAAAATAAAAAACATATAAATAGGTTTCTTGAAATTTCTAAATAAGTATTACTTCGTATAATAAATAAAAAATTAATAGGACTTACA